CATCAGTATCACATGGTTGGACTTCAATTGTTATAGAATTACTCTTTGCTTTCTTTAAAACAAACAGATTCATCCTGAATACTTTGAAGACAAGGGCACTAATTTTTAGCTCTGAAAGCTCAGACCCTTTGATTTAATAAAGATAGTGAGCATGTAAACAAATATATTTAATATCTAGGTGTAATTTTTACTACTAATAATAATATATTTGATATAAATATTAACTATTTGAAAGAACAATCAAGGAAACCTTTATTCAAAATCAAACAGCAATCCATGGAATTTTTATGATCTACCACCTGGTGCTGCTCCCTATCTTTTTTTAATTCTTTAGTTAATCCAATAAAACTAATGGCAGTGAAATATGGTACAGCAAAGACAGATGATCAAAAGAAATTGCCTATGTATTGACTTTTCCTTTGATAAAACTGTCCAAAATCTCATATTTTAACCCAAGCTTATTAATATGGAAAAGAGAAACATGATTTAGGGTTTAAATCTTGGCCTCAGAAAATTTATGGAGTGTGAGCTTACAAAATATTGGAATGGTCAGAATTAAAATATTGATAATTAGCTTTCGAGACAAGAAATTGCAAATTATTTATAGATAATTGGAAACATGATAGTTCGCAATACCCCATATTGAGGACATAAAGTGTCTTTATTTAAGAAAGGGAATAAGGAAACATATACAAGATAATATATAGATAATAAGAAATATAGATTAGCAATAAGTAGATCTAGGTGAACATGGTTAAGTTCACATCATCAGTAATTAAGGAAAGAAACAGGAAGACACCCAAAACCAGAGCTCAAACCTGTAAGTGAAAGGTTATGTAATGTGTGTAAATGTGTGGAGGATGAATTCCACTTTATCATGAATTGTGCGAAGCATTCTCAACACAGGCAAATATTTTCAGTAAGGTTCCCGAATTATAACCAACATTTGATCTTAATACTAACAATTTATTTTCAAATCAAATGATAACATAATATTCCAACTACAGCTTGGTAAAGGACTGTATTTGGCTCAGTGAACTAAATTCAACAATGTTTTTCTCTTAACCTAATTATTGAAAAAAATCTGAAAATAAACTTCCTCAATACAATGGCCATTGATTGATGTAAAACTAGGCACACCACCTGATAGTATTCATCATATTTCTACATTGATTACACTTCAGCTGCTTAATCAAAGACCTAATAATTCATCATGATGTATTTCTTTGATCATTTCATTTACAGGATCAAGGTAAAGGATAATCTTAGCTCAAAACGACAAAAATGCCACTAGTTTTATATCAGATTATTTCTGGAACTAAGATTTATCATTCCACACAATCTTACAATCATTTTTGATTTTTATCAGAATTTACACAAACATTATTTTAATATTTTCTTGTAGTTTGTTTCACAAAATAGTGATTTAAAAATAGTTTGGTGCAGTTGTTAACTGAAATCTTAATGTTTGGAAAAAATTATTTACATTATAACTGCACTATAGGCAAATTTAAGGCTGAAAGACTAGTCTTTCCCATAGACTCTCTTGAAAGCCCATGTATTTCCTTTAGACTGCTATTTGAAAGATAATATCTTGTGGCAATTTCTTGGAGCAGTTGATGAAATAGGTCACACACGTGTTAACAACAACATGTTAAAAAATACAATGTCCCCAAAAATAAAAGAATTTGTTTAAAAAAATATTTAGCAGTATTCAAAATAATGTTGGTAATGATAGCCCATTATCTTTTTATTTAAAAACACACCAATAATGTCTCTTACATCAATAGATAAGTCACAATTAAAGAGAAAACAAATTCTCGTAAAAATGCCCTAATACAAACCTAGAGTAAAACCTGGATTGGGGGTTTTAACAGAGTTACAACTGAGCCAAACACACCCTTGCTGTCATTGATGCACACATTGGATATTATTTGATTTAATTTTCATACCCACAATGAACTTTTCTTGCTGAACAAAGTATGTTTCTGTGTTGATGGTATTTATGTCACCACCCTGCACCAAAAGTGGTGGTTGGCATTTGGTGTTTGGAGTTCGGTGTCTGTAACAATTTGCAATAACTTACAAGATGGTGACATTTTATGATGTTAATGCCTTGGTTGTCTAACCCTTGCTGCAAGTTTATAAACAATTGCCTTTGATTAAATGATACAAAGGATGTAATTTTCATAAATATTTTATGATATAAACTTTATAAATGAAAAAAGTTCAGTGTTATCTTAACATGTTTACTTACCTATAAGGATTAGGTATATTCCACATATAATATCCACTGTCTTCGGACATTTTGATATGAAGTGAATTGTGTCGTTATTACTCTCCATAATTTCATCAGTCTTATGTTAGATTACGCTGTACCTTGGTATTTATATATTTCTTGGGCTGATATTGATTATTAAATTGTTATTTACAGGTTGGTCCAAAAAGGTGGATCTTTTGTCGAACAATTTTTTAAATGAATAATACATGTACCAGAATAAAATAGAGGTCATTTAAAATTCACTTTTGGAGGTCTAGTTAAGATGTTTCCTTAGTACATTTATATAGATAAGTCATAATCTTTTTATTATTTTTTTTATTTTATCTCATATTTACTTAATATTATCTTTTTATTTATTCATTTATTTATTCAGTTCACATTCTATTTCTGACGTTCAATTCTTTTTCATAACACTTCTTTATTTGTGCAATTTCCATTTTTGAATTTGCTTATACAGTTTTTGGCTACTTACACCAAATTATTTGTGTCATTTAGCGTTCCATTCCAAAAAATAGATCACCTTCAACTTTAGGAATCTCAAACTTGTCCAAAATCATGTTCCTAACATGTTATATCTACAAGATGTATCCTCCTGTTGAACAAGTCATAATATGTTCTATATAGGTTCAGTAAAACTTGTTCAAAAATACAGTGATGTGCATTTAAAACTACAAAATATGAAGCTCATTGAATTTTGTCCTGTTATATATCTGGAATATGTATTGTCCCTCAACTAATAATCTAGGTTTACATGTATTTGCAGTGCACTAATCTTTGTGCAAAACTGAAAGATTAACACCGTGCCAATGACGCATATATTGAATGAATGAATGAAAATAACATGGCACGCTCATTAGGAAGCCATTTACATTTCTGAACATTTGCACATCTAATGCAAATAAATCTTTGTAATGGGGCCACTGATGATAATTAGATAATTGAACTTCTGGCAACAAATCATTATTTTCATAGATACTTTATTTGAAATTATTGTAGTACATGTAATTTGAACCATATATGAAATCCTTTATCATAATAGCATTATATCAAAACATATCTGAAGCTGAAAGTAAAATATTTATGGGTGGGAATATTGTTTTTTTAATTCATAAGTATTTATTGAGTCTATTGTATGAAATATGTCTTGACATATACACTGCAGTAACTGTATAAGGCCATATTTTACTTTCCTAAAAATATTTCAGATCACAAATGTAATGTAGCTCATAACATGATGTCTCCAAATAACAAATCATCATTTGAATTCTTCAATGTCAGATATACCAATATCATATATCAATGGATATTATTCATTCCTTCTAGCTAGACAGTTTCCTTTATATCCTACTATTTCTCTGCATGCTGTAGGATTATAGCAACATGAACTAATATCTTTACCAGGCTGTTCTCACTTATTATCCCAGCTAACAGAGATTGGTAGGCATAAAGTGAAGCACTCCGTCTATCCGCCCATCAGTCAGTCCATCCATCTGTCCATCCATCGGAAAAACAGCTTTTTCGTTAATTTTGAGATCTTTCTGAAGTATACCTTCATATATTTACCCTCTGATTCTTCAGGAGATTAAAAATGGCTGCATGTCTAAATTGGGAATTTGTGCCTTGAATTGATATACCTAAATTGTCACATAAAAATTCTGATATATCTCCAATGTCTGTCTTATTGTTTGCAAATAGAGTAGATGGTAAATATTATGTCCGACACATACAGATTCATGAATATTTTGTTCATTGGGAGTTACAACTCCGAGAAGTTGCCACTTTCTAGTTATGTCTTTCATTTCCCACTGATTTATAATGAAAGGATTCGAGGCAGTTCCTTTGAACAGGGTTCTCTTTAATGTTTCCAATTACAAATTAATTAGATTGATAGTTTTTAAGAATCTAGAAAATCATGATGAAGATAGGCAATTACCTTTATTCATATTTCATGCTCTGCTGTAATGAGAACTAGCTCACCTTAAACGTCTCTATGATAAACATGTAGAATTTATTTGATTTTATCAAATACAATGCATTGAAGCAATGGCCCAAGCAAAGTTTTCTGAAATTCTACCCAATATGTTAAAAAATTGTTTTAGTTCTTAACTTTATAAAAAATGTTCAAAATGTTCACTGTTCCAAATATGCTAGCAACATAGTTGGGGGATTCACTAGAATTTCTCACAACAGGCTAAATAAATAAAAACAACAGGCAAAATTAATAGAAATTATAAAGGAGGAGGGAAATTATCACAGATTTCGGACAGCCATAAGTTGGATTTTGCAATGCATTACCTCAGGAAAAGTACTCCTAGAGATGATAAAATAATTTCAACTTTGAGACAGGGAAGATGCAAACAACCCATCAACTTGTTTTTTCTGAAATGTTTTCCTGATTTCCAACCCTTTCCACCCTTGCTTTCTTAATTTTTCTTGCATCAATATGTTTTGTTTTGACACACAGTTAACCCCTTTAAAGGAATAAGTGATTCCTAATGTGATTTGGTTCACCCAGTGTTCATATCATGTATTTTTGTGCTACTACAGTACAATTTTTCCTTTGATTCATTCCCTGAGTGTCCACTATATACAGGGTAATCATCCTGGTAAGTAATACTAATAGTAAGAACCAATTCCATAAACCAGATTTATGAATATGTCTTCATGCATTTTCTAATGACAAAGATAAGTATAGTAAATGAATGTTATATATTTTCAGTGCTGGTGTTAGATTGTTCCACCAACCCTTGTTCTGCCTGTTGCCTCCTAGTTCCAGAGAGTCCAGATGAACATATTCTAAGCCTGGCCCTTGTAAAGCTGGTAAGCTAAAGTACAATTAATCATACTTGCCACAGTCAACAAGATTCTAATATATGTACTACAGACATCATTTCATCTGAGTGATTGATAAGTAAAATGCTTCATGTATAATAATCATTAATGAATCCTAATCCACTGAATATTATACTTGATATCCATCTTTATTCCATACTTAGTAGTGTTTTAGGTAAATAACATGCAGGAATATAATTGACATCTGAAGTGAGCGGGAGATATCAGTGGGTGATATATTACCCGCTCATCAGATCTATGACGTCACAAATTCAGAGAGTAGATACTGAGCCAGGGGATTTGACTATAAACCATCATAATCTAATAAGCACACATCCTAGTTTTCTGCATGAGAAAAATGCAAATTCTGCGCAGAAATTCTGCATGAAAAAGCCAAATTCTGCACCAAATTCTGCATGAAATCTACAATTCTGCGGCAAATTCTGCACGGGGAAAAGTGAAATTTTCTGATTCAAGTATGTGCAAAAAGTGAAATTCTTGCTAAAATCAATAATTTTCTCTAAAAAATCAATAATTCAAAATTCTTGAACTCCACTCATGCTGCTTTATTCAGCGATAATGGACAACTGCAGTAATAACACCAGATGCAATTTTAATCAATTAGCGACAAAACTTACCAAATGCTCACTTGTGAACTATCACGAAATTCGAAGTATCACGAAATTCCAGATCAATATGCAGGGAATTCAGATGTCGTTTATTTATATATGACGAAGTAAAACGCAAGAAGAAGCATGATTTATTACGTTAGAATACAAAAGAATACAAGATTAGACATATTATTGCAAAACAATTACAAGGGACAGTCATCGGTTTCAAATTTCGTGATTATGTTAGACGCAGTCTTACCTCTAAGTGCAAAGGCGGAAGTTCGAGAATTTAAAACAGATTTCAGATTTCCTCTTGAAAATCTGACAAAACACAAGTATCTGACAACAAACGAGCGGAGGCTTTTGGCGTTTAGATGAGTGACAAATATGAGATGAGATGGTTGACTGGAAAAATCATGTTTTCCGCGAAATTCCGTGCCAAAACAAAAATTCTGCAAAAAAAATGAAAATGCAAATTTCTGCGGTTTTTCTGCGGCGACGCGGAATCACGGAATACTAGGATGAGTGAATAAGGACAGAATAAATCAGATATTAAATGCTCGATTTTTGATACAGGGTATATCCCTCGGTAAATACAATATATCAATATTCGCTCCATCGCTCAACAGTTGTACAAGATATTCTCGCTATCAATAAACTTGAGCAGCTAGTATTTCCCCAAGTTGAAAGATTGGTTGAAAGGATATGTTGTGAAGATGATGATGCAGATGACATTCAGATTGCAAAATCGGAAAATTCTCTCATATAATGACTGATTCAAGGTTGTGCACCTGCATCTAAAGTATTTGCCATATCAACAGTTGTGACGTAATTTGATTTATTAAATACCAGTCTGGGTTGCATTGTCCCTATATCAAAAATTCTCTAGAAAAGTACCTAAAATAAATAAGTTATAGCGGGTCATCCAAGAGTTTTGGACCACCTAGTATTTGTAAATTAGATTAGGCGACAAAGATCAATAAATTTAAATAACAAGTCTAATAATGTTCCATTTGGGTGTGCTGTATTATTTTTGAAATATGCCAATTATGTGATTCTATGATAGAATGATACATCACATACATACCTTGGGATGGTTTTGCCTGATTGATAAATGATAAATGAATTAAAGGTATAGTTGAAAGATTTATACAGGGTGTTCACTGCTCAGTGTTCCAAACAAATTGTCTGCTTCAAAGTGCCTATAAGCATGTTTCCAACCCTTCCTTTGTAAACCTTTTTGCTGCATTCTTTTGCATTTAGGGGCTTAATTTCAAATGTGATTGATATATACAGAAAAAAGTGCCATTTTTGTTCTTCCAATTATTCTATCTTTGTTTGCATTGAAAGTACATGTAATAACACAGAGCATAACGCTCTTATCAATGCAGACTGGCATTTTCTTGTACATTCTTGTAAATATACTGTATTTGCATTGTTTTAAAGGATATGCTGTGGGAACCAAAGAAATTAAAAGCATGGAGCACTCTCAAACAAGAGTTTTATCAATATTAACAGCATTTCTATGTACATTGCATTTGCATTATATAAAGGATCTTACTGTTGGAACATAAGAAAGTAAAAACATGATGTTATAATATACAGTGTATTTGCTTTCTTATAAAGGATCTCGCTGTTGGAGCTCAAGAAACTAAATACACAGAGCACATAATTTTTGCGGGACACAAAAATGGACAAGTAAGTTATCTTGGTTTTAGCTCATTGTCAATATACAAAATGGATACATGTAAAGTTTTTAAAATTAAATGTATTTTGAAGTTCTCCCTGATTTTTTTGTGATCACCTAAAAGTGATCTCTTTTTGTGACTACCTTTCAGTGTTGGTGATCATCATGTTTTTCATTCATAGTATCTTCTATTTTAGATATCATTGTTGAGTGCCAGCAAGAGTGAGATGCCACATAATATACAGGCTCACCATGGTGAAGTGACTACACTCGCTGTATCACATCAACTTAGCAGTTCACTGACTAGCAGTCCTATTGGTGAGCTCATCTTAATGTTACTTTGGCTAGAAGGTGACCATTTATTGATGACTTCACTTCATTTGTGAAATCCTAGAAGATGGCAGCCTTCTTAAAGGGTGACGCATATTGTTTAGCAAATCGAACGCTCGTTTCTGGTGTTGCTCACCGTTTAGTATAAAAGGCCCGATCCCGGAATAATACTCAAGGGTTCACAGGTTCGAGATCGTTGTGTCAACACCTCTAACTGTTATATAGCATAAGTATATTATAGATCGTCACACATTAATAAAAGGGTGATTTTTATTTTGACAAATCAATTCCACATTTATGGGTGAAGTTTCAGGATCTTCTATTTGTGCATAATAAGGAAAAATTGGCATCTAAATTTCCCCATAACGTAATAGCACACAGCTTGGCATATGAAATATCCTACAAATGAAACAAAGCAAGACAAACCGGTTTCTAATACAAGAATTTATATTGGCTGTTGTACATGTATTATTTGAACGCAATCACTCTTTGGATAACGTTTTCAAAATCATTATAAACGGATTACTTTATCTCAAAGACAATTTCAATAAACTGGATTTTACAGAACTCCCCTTATTTCTTAAAAATGGACTGATCCAGTTGATTCGCCTGGAGCCGCCATATTGTTTTTATACGGGATGCTAATCGGAACCCTTTAAAATGAGCACTGCATTTTTAAATGATAAATGTTGACCATCTCAAAAGTATGTAAATGATTATAGCAGCAGGATCAAAAAAGAAATGTTCTGGCGAGAAAATCCCTTTACCCTCTTGAATCCCAGGCTCTACAATCAGTTTGAAACCAGAAGCTTTTTTCATTTTTGCCACATTTTGACATTTTACTACATACTGTTCATGTACATTAGGGGTCCCGCGATTCATCGATATATCGATGCATCGGCTCGTTTGGTGACGATACAAGCGTATCGATACGAAGACTCAAATATCAATACACCAAAAATATTATTAACATACCTGGAATCCATCATATTTTGCCGAAATCTACTGAATATTTAAATTTTTTTGAGAAATTGTTTTTATATTTTTTGTTTGGTTTCTCACTGGACATGACACGCCCAAAAAGTTGTATAAATGCGAACAGAATGCTTAGCGGATTGACAGTCAAAATGCGAACAAATAACTCGTGTCGTCTTTGTCTTCGTATATCAACGTACTTTGTTTTATAATTCTAAATACTTTTTGACAATTTAGTATGAATAAATATAATCTTTGAGCTTTTTATAGGATACAACGCATTAAAAAATTGCCTACTAATGTTGATAACTGTAATAAAAAACCGAACAATATTTACGTTCGGAGTATCAATGTTGACCGGAGTTTAGAAATTGAAACTTTTTGAAAGTTTTGAACACAATTGATAGAATTATGGCCGTGTAAGCATCAAACATGGATAGTTGTGTTATCCTTATATCCCCCAATAGAAAATCTACCGTAGTATTGGAACATTCCTCAAAAATTGCAAAATATGCATAGCTGACTGGTGACTACTACACAGCAGGTAGGCTTGATACTTGACTATAGTTTTTATGCTGCATCTGAATCAAATGTCACAGCACGTAATAGACTTTCAACTCGACCTCAGCTACGTCAGTGTTGCACCCCCCCCCCCCCCCCCCCCCCCCCGTTCAACTACACTATTATCGTATCGTTGCTCGTATCGTGACCTAAGTATCGAGATACGTATCGTATCGTTTCATAATGTATCGTGGGACCCCTAATGTACATATATGTATACAACATGTGATGATTATTTTCATTCCAATTATCATCTAGATTGGCAAATTCATTTGAGCTGTTGAAATTCAAGACATTATAAAAATTCATCATACATACCTTCAACAACATGTGCGTGAAATGACTTGTCTTTGTGAATAAAATGAAATGAATTATAATCCAAACAAGTTTATGTGAATCTCATGGAACTTCTATTTTACAAATTACATGCGAGATTGAGACGTGTACAGCTTGTTATCCCATCGAACGAAGTTCGGAGGGATATAGGGAACGCCTCCGTCCGTCCGTCCGTCCGTCCGTACATACGTCCGTACGTACATCCGTACGTCCGTCTGTCCGTCCGTCCGGGCAATAACTCAAATACCATTGGCCCGATTTTGTTCATATTTTGTACACATATACCCTATGGAGGTAGAAGTTCTGCTCAAAAGCCGATTTTCAAAATGTCCACTCATTTCAAAATGGCGGCCATTTTAGTGACGATTTTACAGTAATTTAGGTGCAATATGTAAAACTGTAATAGCAATATGTTTTAAATGTAAAAAAAATATAAAGGACATTAATAATGCTACAAATGTAGATATTAAAGAAGCACATGGCAGCCATCTTGAAAAATGGCGGCCTTTACTCGTCATTTTACGATTTTTGCTGTAACTCAAAAAGTAGTGGAGCGATTTTGTTCATATTTGGTATGTGAATACTATAAGCATTGCACACTGTCTAAAGACACTTTTTGTAGAAGGCGGCCATTTTTCAAAATGGCCGCCATTTTAACGTATTTTACTATAACTCGAAAAGTAGTGGAGCGATTTTGTTCATATTTGGTATATGAATACTATAAGCATGGCACACTGTCCTATGACACTTTTGGTAGAAGGCGGCCATTTTGAAAAAAAATTTGAAAAATGGCCGTCATTTTAACATTTTTTACTATAACTTGAAAAGTAGTGGAGCGATTTTGTTCATATTTGGTATGTGAATACTATAAGCATGGCACCCTGTCCTATGACACTTTTGGGTAGAAGGCGGCCATTTTGAAAACAATTTTGAAAAATGGCCGCCATTTTAACGTATTTTACTATAACTCGAAAAGTAGTAGAGCGATTTTGTTAATATTTGATATGTGAATACTTTAAGCATGGCACATTGTCTAATAAAACTTTAGGGAGTAGACGGCCATTTTGAAAAATGGCCACCATTTTAATGTGTGTTATTTTACAAGTACGTGTGCGATTTTTCAAAAATTTTAGAGGTGGCTACTTAAAAGCATATTATTTCTTCTGATGACAACTTGGCTAGTGAGCAACCATTTTGAAAATGGTGGCCTTTCTGGTGTGTTGTTTTAGGATATTTGCGCTTCGTTTGTAAAAATGCCAGACATTTCTGTTCGATGGGATTCGCTACGCTTTGGCGTTGCCGTTGTTCTGGTTGAATTCTTAATATTTGATTAAAATGAAAAAGATTGATATGTAACTAAATGTCTATGGTGATCAAAATGAAACCATATTCCACTAGCTACTTATCTGCTCTGATTCAATGTCCAAAAATAAATGCCTTTTACATTTATTTGGGTTTGCTGTAACAGTCTACAGATTAATCTTGGACGACAGAATTAAAGAATAGAGATAATTTGGATGAACTTTTAAATTAGTAATAAATTGCAATTGTTTATATATTCTTATACTCACTTTATATTTTGCTTCATATCAAATTTATTTCAATGATAACTTTCTCTGTATACTAAGCTCACTTAGAGTTTAACTACAATCATTCTCATCTCTCCTGGCTAGTCCCTCCCCTTTCCAGAGAACACATTATTAACACTTTTCTGAAAAAAGCTATAAGCTATTTATACCAATAGATACATTTTAACAACAAGAAAATCAGGAAATGGCAGTAAAAGATAACAGAAGAAAGCTGAAGTTTTTCACACAGAAATTGTATAAATAATTCAAATATAATCTTAATTTAGGGATCTTAACCCTTCTGGTGCCATTCATTTTTCAAGGCAATATGGCCCTATGGGATCGAAACCAGCCATAGTTTTTTCCTGATGACCATAGTGAAATTTTGTTTATGGATTATGACCTCTGCTTAACTGATTGATGTTGACCCTTTGATATATTTATTGACTTTGAGACTGGATTTTGTCTGTCCCACATCATTTGAGATTAAATGCCCTATCTTGTATGAAGTATGTATGTATCTAGTATAGTATCTACAGCTATTTTTGATGTTATGAGTATTAGTTTAATTTTATCAATTTATATTCTCCAACATACATGTATATTGCAATGACTTGTGTATATATGAAATGTCCCTTGGTGTTTTGGTCCTGGTGTGAGATAATGGAACTTTATTGTGGAGATGGGGCATTAGGCATTGTTTCTTTCCACATTAGATTATAGTTTGGGATAGTTGGGATAATGATAGTTGGGATAATGTTACCATTTTTTGCCTTAAGCAGTTTTTACATATTTAATGGTGCTTGCTTAATAATGATGATTCTTGATTTAGAAAAAGTTCTATTGGCTTAATAGACCCAACAAAAAGTTCTAAAAAGCAAGTCCAATGTCCTGTTAAAGAACCCCTATTCTTAGTATAGTCTCCCACGTGAAGCTACTTGTTGAGACTCAATCAACTTGACTTTTGTTGAAAAAATGAGGATTTCGGCAAGGGTGTATTGCCATGGGGATACAATTGACTTTAAACCTGCATATCATCATGTACATACATGTGATTTGCAGGTTATAATGAATGTACTTATAGTTTCAATGCTGCCGAAGACAAAGAACTGGCTCAATGCAATCAATAGCTGTTAGTGAATTAAAGTTATTATTACCCAATTATTTTAGAATTTTTTTTCTTGATTTTTGTCACTCAAGTTACCAAGGACTTTCATGGAAAATTAGGGTGTATGTTTTTTTGGAGTATGTGCGTCTGTTAGAGATAATACGGTATGTAAGTCATTTTGCTAAAGAGAACAGCAGGGACTTTAACATCAAATCGTAACTTAATATTTTGATAGCACAGATTGTATTGTGGTCTTTAAATCTCTCAAAATAGAAAGTTATAAATATTTGCTTATACGTATGTAGATCAAAGGAGTGGTATCGATATGGAGAACTTTTTGAACACATGTTTCTCTTAAACCAGTCATGAAAAAAATCTAAAAATTTAACTCATCGTCAATTTAATGGTCATCTTTTGAATGGTAACAATATAATTTGAAA